TCTCTCTCTCTCTCTCTCTCTCTCTTTTTCTCACTTTTCCAGGCGGGACTCGCGTGAACTTTTAGAACTTCTGTAGAATCGATCTTTCAATGTTTTTGGTGGCGGTGTCGCGAGCTGTAGACTGTACTACTACAACTTGTTCTCTTCTCATATTTATTTCTCTTTTTTTTTTTTCTTTTGTTCGTTCGTTCGTTCGTTTGTTTGTCTCTGCGTCGAGAAATTCGTTCGAATTATACGATCCTCCGCGACAACTTTCTAACACGATATTTGTTTTGAAGATCTCGAGAGAACACTCCGAGAGGGATATACCTGGTGTAGGTGATGTCGTGAATTTATTGAATGTTTCCACGCTATCTGTGTTATCCTTTTATTTATTACTCTGTTGTCTATAACCGTTACTACTAAATGTACAAGAAGAAAAAAAAAAAAAAAAGAGAAAGGAACACAAGGATGGTGTCATCAAGATCAATCCTTTTAAGGACGAGTTTTTGAGTTTGATGTTACCAATTTAAACTTCTTGATAATTTTTGCAGATTCAAATAATAATAATTAGACTCGTTCGATAATAATTTTTGTAGCTACAAAATGGTGTATATAATTATAAAATTTATCGATGTTGGTTAAATACGATACGATGAATCCTTCGATATTTTCTTTACCGACACTCTCCATGTGTTCACGGCGAGACAACGAAAACATGGTCACGTTCACGAACACGCACCTCTTCGGTCCGCAAATTTACGCACAGATTTCACTAAGATCGAAACTTTAGCTTCGAAAAGAATAATCGCCAGGAGGGTGGCATCGAGGCGTGTCTAGTCGCACTCGCGGAGAGAAAGAAAAGACGGTGCGTGTCCTCGAGAGAGATGGATGTGAAAGCCAGGTGAGTTTTTGGAAAACGGACGGAGCATTCTGCGAATGATTTTCCAGGCAGGGGCTTTCACGATTTGAGGTCCCGTAGCCTATGGTGGGCCGACAAACGTTCTCACTATGGGAAGCCGAGTTACCTCACCTTCGTCAACAACCTCTATTTCACTAACGACGTTCTCCACCCTTCAGCCACTTACCAAGGTATCGCACTCGCTCGCTCTTCCGCTCTTGCACGACACGCTTCTCGCCTCATTCAAGCTTCGCTTGCGTTTTTCCCTTCGCCACATTCCTATTTTATTATATACGCGTAATTTCTTTCTAATCCCGCGCGACATCCAGGGAAAAACGATGAGAATCGTTCGAGAATAGCGAGGGTGAAACTGAAATAACTGATCTGCATAAACTGGCGGGCTAACATCCGCCTGTGTTTCGTAGAACTTGCACTCCGGGAAAGAGCCGTTCGAATATTTGGATTGCACCGAATATGTAAATGTTTGTTGCTACTTCCACGAGAATTGGAATTCGCTCGCGGATGCTTGATTTATTCAATGTTGCTGCCTGAATGGAATGCATCGCCAGACACATCACGGTGTTTTATGGGGGAACGGGGAAGAAATTCTTCCCGATAGTTCGCCTATGCACGTACTTTGTTTGGGTTTCACGCGAACGGGACGTTGGATCGTGCAACGATATCGGATATACAATATTCGCGCCTTGCACGAAGTTTCGAGCCTCCTTCGTACTTCTTCCCCGACTGGTTTCGACGTACAGATTGCACGTGCCGACATTGCATGCGACGCATGAATTGTAGAATTCGTTTCTCTCCTCCCTGCGGATACCCTGGATGTATGTACTGTAGATGAAAGTGATCGGAAGAAGTGGCGAGAGAAAATGATTTTTCCAAGCATCCGCTTCCTTCTCGACTTGAATATCTTTTGATCTGCTTGCCCGAGGTTCAGGCAAAGCTGTACATAAAAAGAAAGGATAAGAGAGCTTGCTCGAGAAATGACTGCCGACTCCCAGAAACGAAACACGTGTCTTTTGTGTTTTATGGAATAACAGACGAGGAGAGCGACGTCAGTAACTTGACGGTCAGCGAGAAACAGACAGGTGTGAGGTTCGACTGCGTCAAGAAGATCTACAACACTGATCAGGGCGACGTGTTGGCAGTGGATGACTTCACGCTGAAGCTTAACGAGGGAGAGGTGACGAGCCTGCTCGGGAGAAACGGCGCTGGGAAAACCACCATTATGTACGTGGATAAGACGCGCAGCAGTCAATGCAATGCCGATCTCTCTCCGCAAATATATCTGCCGGAAATATATCTCGATTCATCCTCGACACTGTGTGCACTTTGGTTTCAGTAAGATGCTGACGGGGATGCTGGCTCCGACCACCGGCGAGATCTGTTTGAACGGCGAGGATGGCTGCAAGCCCGACATAGGGGTCTGCCCTCAGGATAACGTGCTGATCGGTAGCCTGACACCCAGGGAGCATTTGATCTTTTACGCGAAACTGAAACACCCCAAGGAGGACGTGAGCATGCAACGAAGCGTGAACGAGTTAGTACATACATACGTATTGTACATCGTCGATGAATCCTCGATCGCTGTGTCGATTTTCTTCCATCAGGAATCCCGTTTCTATCTCTAATCCGTGATCATCTTCAATCTCCCCCGATTTCAGCCGTATGAGAATTTTCACCGAACACGCATTCAATGTCGGCAGGATGTTGACGTCTTTGGAACTAGGCAAACACGAGCACGAGCCGGTCTACCGGCTCTCCGGCGGCACAAAGAGACGGCTTTGCGTAGCTTTGGCGTTCCTAGGCTCGCCAAAGCTGGTGATCCTCGACGAGCCGGGCGCCGGCGTGGATCCAGCCGCGAGACGCAGAATTTGGCGTCTAATCGATCAACACAGGATCGGCAGGACCGTCATTCTGTCGACTCATCACCTGGACGAGGCTGACGTACTCAGCGACACCGTAGTCGTGATGCACAAGGGAAAGATACTCTGCACCGGATCGCCGTTATCCCTGAAGATGATGCACGGACGTGGTTACAGGCTGCTCGTTACGTTCCCCGCCGAGCGTGACGAAAATGCTGACTCGATGGAGAGGAAGAAAGTGGAGACTTTGAAGGGCGTGATTGAAGAAGCGGTGCCGAACGCGGTGGTTAACGAAGTCTCTAGCACAGAGGCGGTCGTCACGTTGCCTTTCCAGGGGAAGAACGGGATAAATAACAAGTAGGTTTATCATTCGAAGCTTTATCGTTCGACGAGAGTTGTTACCAAGCTGGTTTTTTTTTTTAAAGCAAATCCTGTTTCAGCATTGCGCAAGCTACGAAAGTTTTGGAAGACAGTCGCAAGATCGTGGGTTACTCACACTTTTCCTTGGAATGCGATTCGTTGGAAAGGGTGTTTCTGGATCTGTGTTCCAGGGCAGAGAGTGGTTCGTCGATCGTAAGGACTGGCCAGGATAGCATCGTCAGCATAGATAACGTCGGTACGTAAGTCGATGCCAGACTGCACAATGGCATCTGTTGTTAACATTCGTGCGAGAATTTAATTTAATTTTCAAATCAGACTCCGCAGACAAATCAGATTTAGCTAAAGACAGCGGTGATCTAATTGACGTCGAGGCACCATTGAATCCCACCCCTATTAGGCAGATGAAAGCTTTGTTGAAGAAACGAATATGGCACTTCAAAAAGGACTGGTTGACATTCTTAGCCGGTCTCCTCTTGCCGACCATGTTCGTTGCGGTTGCTATGGGATTCTCTTTGATCAGGCCACCATCCGAGGACGAGCCACCGCTGGTTCTTACCCCGAAATTATACGACACACATCCGACCTATTTCTACAGGTACGCACGGTGCTCGCCGACTCGTGAAATTATTATTATTAAACGTCTGTTTTCAGTGTCGACGACGGCGACAACTCGTTCTTGCAACACGTGTCACTTCAGCTTCACGATCGATTCGGGGATGACTACGCTGGCGCGTGGCAGACATTGCCTAATGTATATTA